CCAACTTGTCTTGCTTTGTCTCGTAGATGCTGTGAATAATGGATAGTGGAAAACTATATGTATACAGATAAAACGTTAGGTACGTCTGCTTATAGTTTTCGTTTGTAGGAGGCCTCACTTAGCATAGTGCCAATAGTACAAACAAACGGTTCACTTAGCACAGTGTACAAATCAAATAAAGCGTTGACGATGTTACGAGGACTGTTGTGTATTCTCCGTCGACCTTTGGAACGTACTTACAAAGACCTAGAATAGTGCTAAGTCTCTTCATTCATTTCATAAGTCTTGTTAAATCGCATTACTTAGAACGCTATTAGATAAATTATATTTGTAATTTTTTCGTACACTTCTTATTTAATTACTTTATCATGTTATGTATTTGGACAAATCTATGTTTATTGTATTTACCTACATAATTTTGCATCAGTCCTCTACGCAAAGGTTGTCTCAAAGAGATCATATTCAGAGTGATAAGGTGTTGTATATATTATACTTTAGATTGAACTCTTCTCTTTTTCTGTATTTTGGAGTATATACAATGAAGATAAAATAAACAAGAAAATAAATGAAATTCAAGTTTATTTTTAAATAATGTTAAAACAACAAACTAACAGTTCACCTGAAGGTCAGTCCATTTTCGGTAGAGCCACACTGTAGCGTATTATGGTTGCCACACGAATGGGTCGGCTCTACAGGGGAAGGAACACGCTAGCACAACACCAACGTGAAATTGCAGCTTAATACTGCTTTCTTCGTATGGTGAGCGAAGAGATCCTGGTGGTCCTCAGGGGTGACAAAACGTCTACATTTTGATTCTTAATGGAAGATAGATGTTGATGTCTATGCGTGCTGGTTTGTTATCTATATTTCTATAAATAATTCAAAATTTTGTACAACCGACTTCAATATAAATTATTAAGAATAACTCATAAACTATTGACCAGACCTTCATCAAATTTATACGGGACCACATGAGAAGCACCAGCTTTCATATAAAAAAAGAAACATCGAAATCTGTTCATCCAATAAAAAGTTATAAGGTCACACACATAAAAAACCATACAGTCGAATTGAGTACAGTCTCCTTTTTGAAGTCGGCAGAAAAGATGAAATGCCTGTGCATAAACTGGCTCTACCCTCTTTTACACTTCAAGTCAGACCAGCACTTAGTAGTACCTACCAAGACGTACTTCTGAGCAAACAAAACCTGCCTACTATTTAAGGACTTTTTATATTTACGCGATTCTTACACATCGAATAAAAATAATTTTACGGATTTTATCGTGTTTAATTTTAACTATTATTGGTTGTTACAGTGATATAGCAGGGTATGCTACCGGTCCGGGGCTTCTAGAGTTGAAAATGTACCCTTACCCCCACAGGAGGGAGGCCTTCTCATTTTTAAAAGATCCCATTATTTTTATCGGTACGTGTAAATTTTCTATAGTATTATATATTATTAAATAATTAATAAAACAATAAAATGTATATTTTACACTTATCACGTTTTATATTTTCATACCCTTGGCTAGGGCGTGTGCAGAATATTAAAGTGTAGTGAGTAAGAAAGTAAAGTGCCTACGTGGTCTTTACATCAAGCCAAAGGCTCTTTATTGAAGTTTTGGGACAGGTAATAGTCCGACATACTGTATTTATTTAAATTTTTTAAACGCGCAGGTTCCCTCATGATTTTTTCTTCACCGCTCTGCACGTTGTAAACCAGTTTTTTTTTAGAGAATAAGGGTAACAAACAAGCACAAATTCCATCTGCTAGTAAGTAGAAGCTGTAGCTGCTCATACACATCTACAAGTATCCTCGATTGCGAATCAAAATGCAGATGCGTTGTCATCCGTGAGGACTGAGATGGAATGCCTCGTTTCCAGTAAAAAGGGTCTTCTGTGCTCTACACTCACCATGCGAAACATATCAGCATCAAGTGGCTTTTTTACGCTAGTATTCTGTGAGGGCGTGACCTTCCCCGGCCGAGCCGAACCATTCGTGATACAACTATTTAACTATAGCATGGCTCTACCAGTACCAATCGCTCTAGCAGTACCGTATAAGTTAATTGCAATTAATAGTTCTATGAGTTACCGAATTCAAGGTAAGACGAACGCTTATTCCTTGAATTCTTCGTATTTATGTTAACTTTGATCTCAATGCATTAATTGCCGGACACGAAGTGTTATACAAGAGCAAATGTATCTTTGTATTTTACTTCCACTAGCAACACTGTAATATTTTTCTTACTCGGTTGAAACGTTTTTTTTTTATAGGATAAGGGTGACAAACGAGCACACAGTCCACCTGATGGTAAGTGGTTGCTGCGGCCCATAGACATCTACATCTACTCTATTCCAAATCAAAATGTAGATGCGTTGTCACCCGTGAGGACTAAGATGGAATGCCTCAATTCCCGTAAAAAGGGCCTCCGGCCACCTGCACTCACCAAGCGAAACGCAGAGGTAAACCGCTACTTCACGCTGGTTTTCTGTGAGGTCGTGGTACCACCCCGGTTCGAGCCGGCCCATCCGTGCGACAGCAAAGCTGCCGCGTGGCTCTACCACTGTTACCAACGTTTGATTGTAGTCGGAAATATAGTTTGATTATTGTCATAATTAAAACCTTCAACACGTGTGTTAGATTTAGAACGGATCCGTATATCACAAGAGATGGCCCGCACTGCAAAAATACGAAAAATTCATCTGACGGTTACTGTTGCCTATGGGCTACTGAAAAATTTAATTCGTTAACACCATGTAGACTAGTAGAAAACGTCTTAGGCATTAAATCCTCCTATGTACTACGTGTATATATAAATTTTAAAAAATTGTAGCTTTAACTACGAAATAATTTCGTCTTTATAACATCCAGATTTAGGGAAATACGCCACAAAATTTTATGTATTGAAAAATGAACAAAAACTTAGCGCGCAAGTAATATAATAAAATGCACCGCGCAGTGTCTAATTTGCATTAAAATTCTGCAAAATTTTGGAACTGGTTTCTTCGGCGTTAGAAAAAAAGTATATATATTTTCTCAAGAATGGCTCCCATTACAATGTAAACACACAAAAACTCTCCGATTACAGTCTTACTCTCATGGATGTTAGACGGGAAATGAAGCTGCAGTCTTCAGTAGATTTGATAGAATACAGGCAACTGCACAAACAGATCTTCAAATGCATGCGGCAGGACTTACGCGACTCTACTACTGCTCGTATTGAAGAAGCGATCGAGCGGAACCAGGACTTCTAAGTCTTTGCTAGAGATCTGTATACCAGAAAGAGCCAACTGTCGAAGCTGAGGACCGAGTGTGGTAGTGTCGTTTCCAGGACACCTGAGATTTTGAGTGAGATTGAGAGGTTCTATGGGCAGCTGTACATATCATCGTTGGAATCACACGCAAGTGTGAGTAACGATCCAAGTGCAAGTCTTATCCGACACTATTCCGATGATATTCCGGACGTCAATCTGAGCGAGATCAGAATGGCTCTCCAGCACCTTAAAAATGCTAAGGTCCCAGGCGAGGATGGAATTATAGCGGAGCTTCTGAAAGCGGGTGGAAGACCGGTACTTGTAGTCCTTCAAAAGCTCTTTAATTCCGTCATCCATGGTGGCACTACACCGGAGACGTGGAGCAGAAGTGCGGTGGTCTTGTTCTTTTTCGTTACACAAAAATTTTTATTTGAAAATTTGCAATTTTTGCCGAATTATTTCCAAATAAATATTTTACCTAATATTTACGAGTACCTTAATTTGGAAAGTCAGATAACCAAACACTTACAATGACCTAGATGTGTGTTGTCAAGGGTCATCCTTACGATCCTTACTGATCTGTAAGATAAGCATCAAGACTCGCTCTTTGGCAGACCTCCAAGCATGTGCACGGTACATGATTCCCATTATAATAGAGTTATTGGCGGCACCGAACAGTGACCTTGTACTGCACTGCTGTCACAATATGTACCTGAGTTTGTAAATTTGTACTCTTGAAAAGAAAAATTTTTGTTAATGGTTTTTTGGACACTACTCTATTCGGATGAAAATAAATGAATCAGGCGTTCCTCATCATCATTATCATTACAGCTCTTTATGAGTCCACTGCTGAACAGAACAATAGGCCTCCCCCAAGAAATGCCACAAAAAACGGTCCTGAGCCATCTGCATCCATCAACTTCCTATATGTCTTACTAGGTCGTCACTCCATATAATGGGGAGCCGTTTTACACTTCGCCCATGTCATATTTTTGTTATTTAAATTAAATATTTTTTTTTGCTTATGTAGTGGTGGTGTCAGAATATCCACTACCCAATATCGTCTCATGGGTGCCGTAAGAGGTGACAAAGGGAAGTAAACCGGGAGATTGGCAGCAGCGTTTTGAAAATTAAATATTGAGGCAATAACTAATTAAAAAATTCTGTGGTGGCAATTATGACAAATATCTCCCCTTGACGCAATCTATGAGGGAGGCTTATGTTCAGTAGTGGACTTTAGATAAGCTGTAACGGTAACAGAGATCACCTAATTTTATATTTTTCGTCATGATTTAGGACGAATAATCAGAGTTGATTATGGGTTATGCTATAAAGATATACAAAATATATATTCATATCGTTCTGGTACAAGTTTGTTTGTTTTCTGGTTTACGAGTAAATAAATAGAGTAAAATAAAATGAAGTGAAAATGAAATTAAAAAGAAAAGAAAGTGAAATAAAAATGAGATTGAAACGAAAGGAAATGAAAATGAAGTGAAATGAAATTATTTCTTAAACGTCAGAAGCGAAAAGTTCAATTATTATAATATGTTTTTTAATAATAACATCGTTTTAAATTGTGGTTCCTCTGTTCTGAGATGAAACGGCAAAAGAAGCTCCGCAGGTATTCTCTTTTTGTAATTTTGTTTTGTTTGGTGTGGTCACACAAGTACTAGAGCAAGGAGGCTGCCATCGGTGTGGTGTTTGTGGAGTAGTGTTTAGGTAGTGTCGTGCGTGCGTACCTCTCCGCCGGAGGAGCCGCCGGGCGTGCGCGCGGTGCGGTAGGGGTTGTGCGTGCGGTGGCGCAGCGTGGCCGTCTCCCAGCCCAGGCACAGCTCGGGCGTGCGCGACGCCAGCAGCGGCCGCGCGCCGCCCGCCCGCACCCCCAGCACCGCGCCCCCGTCCCGCGCCGCGCGCCGCCCCGCCGCCTCGCACCACCCCACCGAGTCCGACAGCCCTGCCCCCCACATACGTCCGACTTCTTCATACAATAACGGTAACAAACGACCACACAGTCCACCTGATATATATGAATACTGTGGCACATAGACTATCTTCAATTAACAATCAAAATGCAAATGCGTTGTAATAATAAGGACTATGACTACCACTTCAAGCTGGTATAATATAGATAAAATTTAGATGTCTAAGGGCCATGCATCCACTTATTTGCTTGTTTATTACCCTTATTCTATAAAATAACACTTTTATACCATACAAGTGTTGCTACACGCACGCACGCACGCACGCACGCACTTACACACACACACACACACACACACACACACACACACACACACACACACACACACACGCACACGCACACGCACGCACGCACGCACGCACACACGCACGCACACACGCACACGCAGACGAGTTGTTCGAGACCTGCGATATATACAAATATACATAAGTTATAAGCCACACATAACCTTTTTTTTTATAGGATAAGGGTGACAAACGAGCACACAGTCCACCTGATGGTAAGTGGTTGCTACGGCCCATAGACATCTACATCTATCCTCTATTACAAATCAAAATGTAGATGCGTTGTCACCCGTGAGGACTAAGATGGAATACCTCAACTATTTGTCAAATCAACTTGCTGCCCGCCCTAATTCTAAAAGCCTTTTTTGCAACCAACTTCAAGCGAAACAGCTTACAAATACATCATATCCTCTGAATCTAAAATGTAATGCTTCGCAGCCTGCACGCTCTGTTACTTATCGGCATAAATTGCCAGTAATATCTATCCACACAAACTCATAGGCAAAAAAGGTGTCTTACACTCTAGTTTAGATATGTAAATAGAAATAAGAGAAAAAAAAAAACACAAAGCCCACCTGATTATAAGAAAATACTATCTATTTCTGAGGAAAAACAACAGTGTCTACACTGCTGTGTTCAAGTCTCATGTGTGTAAAAACCAATGAAACAGACTGTTAAGGCGATACCCCGACCAAAACCTTGCGATAGTGCGTTTTTATTTGTTATTCAGAGACTATTATCTCATTAGTCATCAGAAATAAACTACATCTAGAAGCACATCATTAATGTCCGATATCCTATCATCACATTCCACGTTCTAATTTGTTTTTATGTGTTATAAATACATTTAAAATCTACTTTTAAAAATGACTAAAATTATTGATTACATGCATTTATTGCTAAAGGCAACGCTCCAATCATTTGAGGATTACACTAATGGATAGATAATTTAAAAATCTATATTTTTCACGTTTTACTTAATTTTTAAAGTACTCGAAACGTCGGGAATATAAAATAAATTAATATACGCGATAAAATCCGTAAAACTAGTTTTATTTAAATGTCAGTAAAAGATTAGCTGTAATGATGACTTCACTCTCTAATTCATAATACCACAAAATCTGACCACAACAAAACAGTGTAATAACACTATTTGAAAACATATTTCATCAAATTATTTTTAATTAAATTTCTCGCTCGTCGTACACGCACCTATTTCTACACACATTGATTTTTTCCATGAAATTGATTCATGTTAATAACACTCACCAGCTCCGCACTCACGAATCTGCCCAACGTAGTAAATATGAACAAATTTCCAACAAAATACACAACACCAATTGGATTTGAGAGACTGAACTTCAAAAGACTGTGAAGATTATCTATGTCCAGCGGTGCACATTTTACTGTCCTCTTTATTACAAAAGCCTTTGCCTCTCATTTTCGACTCTTCTGTTGATCATCAGTTCATACGTTCAGACCAGATTTCATATTTTAGTGGGGCGTCTGAATGACATGACGTATAAAATTTTTCCTACGCTGCCTATTCACAATAAATTTAAAGATAAATGTAAATAAACTCACCAGCAACTGAACAGCTTTCCTTGACCGTGAATGGCAGACCGTACAGCGGCTTGTCTTTCAAAAGTTCTTCTAAATTTCCAGCCCTCCTCGCCTCTTTCATCTGTCGGTCCAGTGCCCTCGCCTCCTCGATAGCCTCGCGGTACCTCTCATCCACCACGGCATTGAGATACGGGTTAACTTCTTTCACGCGCTCGATGAATGCAGTCACCACTTGCTCGCTTGTTAACTACAGAGAAAATATTACAGTAACAATTATAAACAAAAAGCGCCCCGTTACATTGCACAAGTTTCTTGTTATTATTTAGGACAAGCTGTCCGTGTAGAACTTAACTAAAACATCAGGTGGGATAGTAGTTAAGCACTGGTTCAGATTAGTTATAAAATATATATATTAGTGGTCTTTGGGCAAGTAGTTAAAAACAACATGGTAAATAAATAATAGTTTAAAAAAAAAACTAAAAAAACACGCTTTTGTAGATAACCGACCGAACTAAAAAGTAGAAAATAATTAGTTAATAAATTGTTCGGTTATCTACAAAAGCATAAGGTTTTTTTAGTTTTTTTAGAAATGAGGTGATCGCTACCAAGCTATTTCTAATTTGTTGTGTTGTTAATTTGTGTAACATACATGATTGTAAGCTGTTATTTTTTTTTAAAAAAGTCCAGCTGGCTTTCTTGCTGGTTCTTCCCAGTACAGAGGTTTTTTTCGAACCAGTGGTAATTAAACAAAAGAGTGACTTTCAATAAGTATTATTTATAATCTATATTGAATAAAAAAATTATGTTTCTCTTTCAGTGCGGCTAACTTCAAACGCGTGTTTTTTGGTACGAACTTCTTTTACTCGGCGTACAGTAGGTTTGTAGATTAAACTGGCAGAAATCGTAGTTGTTTTATGAATTATTCACAAATCCTGAGGATCCTGGCAAGGATAATCTGCAGGATTTGTGATAAACTATTGGCACAATTAAAATATACCATATGAAGGCAAAAAAGTTGGGACACACTATTTAAAATATTTTGTATTGTCATCGATCCTTGGTTGGTGAGCGAAGTTTCAAATCAATCCGACGTTTTGAAGGGAATGAAAATCACATTGAAAAATTCCGTTACATGTATACATGGATACATAGATACATACCAAGCTAATAAAAGCGTGTTAAAACACTTTAATATCGGTTTTTGGAACGAAGTTCCTTATCGCATTATTTCATAAAAACATTACTATGATAAAATAAGAAATTAACAGAAAATGTAAAATGAGATCTAGATATGGAAAATGATCTAGATGAGAGCGATCTTTATATTAAAGAGCTTAGAATATCTACTTGAAATGATACAGATTTTTGACTTCATAACGTGTTGATTACATAAGCAGACTTGCAAATACCATAACAGTGGTAGAGCCACGCGGCAGCTTTTGCTGTCGCACGGATGGGCCGGCTAGAACCGGGGTGGTACCACGAACTCACAGAATACCAGCGTGAAGTAGAGGTTTACCTCTGCGTTTCGCTTGGTGAGTGCAGGTGGCCGGAGGCCCTTTTTACTGGAAATGAGGCATTCCATCTTAGTCCTCACGGGTGGCAACGCATCTACATTTTGAACCACTTACCATCAGGTGGACTGTGTGCTCGTTTGTCACCCTTATCCTATAAAAAAAATACTAACAAGGTTTTAAAAACAAAACTTTATTTGGAGGATGTACATTTTATACGAACAACGCTATCGTCTTATCAAATCAATTCATTAAATCAGACAATAAAATATCAGTCCTTGCCGTGCCCATAAAGGACAGAAAGCAATGCATATTGCGTACGGGGGCATATAACAGGATAAAAAAACAGTTTTGAATAACTTGACCTTTGCTGACCTTGACATTGTTAGTCGCCCTGGACTGGAGAAACTTCTAATTGCTAAATGTTAGTCACTGTTTCATCGTCATTACAGGCTTCTCTAGTTCTAATAGAGATCACACTTGGACATGCACATCAGAGGGCTTTGCTATCATTTTACCCAGGAAAACTTGTGAATAAACAATCTAAATTCAAAGTTCATGTACACACATAAGTCAAGATCAGTCACGTAAAAAAATATACAGTTCATGCGGTGACCGTCGAAAAAGGTTGGTTACCCGGAATAAGGAGAAAACTATACTTTTTGATTTGCTGGGTATTAGTTAAATTATAAACCAGAGGCCTGGTGGTTTGTAACTCGTCCAAGTTTTTTTCGAATTAATTTAAAAATTTAAAGAATCTGGCACCCTTATTCTTCACACAACTGCTTGTCAGACCGCACACCGCACTGCAATTTGAAAGCACGCCACGCGTGTCTTCGAAAAGGCTACTCGCGACGCTCAACCCGAGATATTATTTTTTAGAATATCAACAAATATCATCGAATTATTGTTGTTTATTTTTTTTAATAAACACACTGTTCTTTCGTCTTCTGGAAATTGCTGGAATAATTTGCATGGTAATATTGAGGACAAATAATGTGGTTATTCAAAAAAGCCAAAAGTACTTACGTGAATTAGGCATTGAACTAACAAAAGAGTTCGTTCAAAGAAAAGTTATGATGGTAAAAGTTCCAAGAAATACAGCATTTGAATATGAGTGTGGAAAACACTGGTAATGAACCAAGTAGTAGTAAGAGACGAGATGAAGTCCCTAACTTTGACGCGACTGATCGATGATTCGGACCTTTAGGGTTCATGCACACATATATCGGTGACCATCAAGTAACTGAGTCGCGGGTAGGACATCGGCCTCGTCTCGAAAGCGCGTCGGACGTGATTTGGCGTATTCAATTACACAACAACAACACATCACTCCCGTTGACGCGACTGATAGGCAACTTAACTTGACTGATGTGTGTGTGTGTGTGTGGATGAACCTTTGCTTATGGCAGTAATAATAATAATAATATTGTTTATTCGCTTAAACATGGTACATATCAGAGGTGACAAATAGTTGTATATTGTACATAGTCCATATGTTTACCACATCTGGCATGCGAAAATTATTATTTAATAAAAATAATTAATTATGTACCTACACAGATTAAATTAAATCAAATAAATATAAATTAAAAAGTTAAAATTACAATCATCATTTCAAGCAAATAAGTTAATTATGCATTATTCAATAATGTAAAGCGCAAGTCCGGTCATGCATGGAGTACTGCTGTCACATATGGGCTGGTGCTGCAAAATGCCACCTGGCAGCATTGGACTCAGTGGAGAGACGTGCTAAGAGGCTCATTGGTGACCTTGATTTGGTTGAAACCAATCTTGTCAGCCTCGGGCACAGGCGCTGAGTATCCAGTCTTTCGGTATTATATAGGATGCATTTAGGTGAGTATGCGCAGGAATTACACTCTTTAATTCCCCCCTCTCCTTTCCACCATCGGACAACCAGACGGTCGGCGGGTCTTCATCCCTTTGTTGTCCATATTCCACCAAACCAGAACCAAACGGTTTGCTTCGTCTTTTGTAATGCGTACAGCAAAGGAATGGAATAATTTTCCAGCGTCTATCTTTCCGTCCGAATACAATTTCGGCGTCTTCAAGGCAAGAGTGAATAAGCTTTTTTTTTTATAAGATAGGGTGACAAACGATCACATAGTCCACCTGATGGTAAGTCGCTGTGGCCCATAGACATCTACATTTATCCTCGTTTGCGAATCAAAATCCAGATGCGTTGTCACCCGTGAGGACTAAGATGGAATGCCTCTTTTCCAGTAAAAAGGGTCTCCGGTTCTCTACACTCACCATACGAAATACAGCAGTGTTAAGCTACTATTTTACGTTTGTATTCTGTGAGAGCGTGGTCCTTCCCCGGTCGAGCCGACCCATTCGTGCTACAACTATACTACTAATATAGCTGCAGCATGGCTCTACCACGTGTAAACGTGCTTTTGTTACGATAAGACAGTGCGATTTACCATCTAAGGCTGCATCAACACTTACCACCAGGTGGGATTGTGGTCAAGCACTGGCTTATAATAAGTAAAAAAAAGTAAAATTCAAATTAAAATTGCAATCATCATGTCAATCATTATAAATAGTAAAAATTAAAATTTCAAAAGAGTACATATTAAATCTACAAATCATTACATAAAAATAATAAAGTTAAATAAAGTCTAAAATAGTAATGTCAAATTTAGGCAACAAGATTCTATTAATTTAAAAATTGACCTCGTCGCGTAACAGTTATTATGATAAAATGCAGTTTTAGGTATACGTTCTAAAACTAGTTTATTACGAGTAGATTTTCGAGTGTTACGCAAATATACCTCAGATGCTATTTTATACATATGTATTTTTTTTTACATGAACACTTGCTTCAAATATGTACATGCCTGGTAAAGTTAGGATGTTAAGCTTCTTAAATCAGGGCCTTCACGATTCATACCATTTGGCCCCAGTTAAGGATCTCAAACACTTTTTTTGAGCTATAAAAGCTCTTTTTGAATAAGAGCTATTACCCCAAATTAACAATCCATATCATAGTATTGTTGCATCATACCCATGATATGCAATGAGTGTGGTTTGAAGTGACGATGTTCTTCTTAACCTATTCAAAACTTATACAAATCTATTAATTTTATTACAAATTTCGTCAATATGAGCCAACCAATCACCATTACTATCTAGTTTTAATCCCAGTATTTTTTTCTGTTCGCTTTCTTGCACTTTGTCATTATCATACCTAATGTCAAGGTCTAGCTAGTTTCTTTCTACTATTACTATAAAACTAAACATAACAGGATTTGGCGACATTGACTTTTAAATTATTATCATGTAACCTGATATCATTAATTGCGCATTTTATGTCATTTTAGTAATAATGTTTATTTCCATGATTATTTTTTATAATCAAAAATATCGCATCCGCAAACAAAATGCATGGGAATGGAGTTGAATCCGGGAAATCATTTACATAAATTACAAACAAAAAAGGCCCAAGAACGCTTCCCTGAGGAACTCCAGCGTACGTAAGAACTAGTCGGGATCTAAATTTTGACAAAACATTTTTTTGTTAGGGCTTATAACATCCACACAGTTTTCTTAATGATAAGTATGATTTTATCCACTGCAATGTCAGTCCTCTTATCCCATACTTTTCTAGCTTACGTAATAAGGTATTATGGCAAACAAAATCAAATGCTTTTCACATATCAAAAAATACACTTGTTACATTTACCTTATCATATATTGTAGTGGCTGT